TGCTAGTCTGTGTCTTTTTATAGGCAAGTTGAGGCCGTTGACATTGAGGGATATTAATGACCATTGATTGGTGATCCTTGCTTGTGCTTGATTTATTGTTAGTGAAGTTATTTTGTGTAGTTTCTCCTCCCTTTTTCTTTTGGTGTTTTGTAAAGTGTGATTATATATTGTCTGTGTCTTTGTGAATGTAGTTATCTTCCTTGGCTCTAGGTTTTCCTTCTAGCATTTTCTGTAGAGCTGGATTCATGGATACGTATTGTTTAAATCTGGCTTTGTCATGGAATATTTTGTTTTCTCCATCTATGGTAATTGAGAGCTTTGCTGGATATAGTAGTCTGGGCTGGCATCCTTGTTCCCTTAGCGCTTGTAGGACATCTGTCCAGGATCTTCTGGCTTTCATCGTTTCCATTGAGAAGTCAGGTGTAATTCGGATAGGTCTGCCTTTGTATGTTACTTGGCCTTTTTCTTTAGCTGCTCTTAATATTTTCTCTTTACTCTGTAGGTTTGATGTTTTGATTATTATATGGCGAGGTGACTTCTTTTTCTGGTCGAGCCTATTTGGTGTTCTGTAAGATTCTTGTACTTTCATAGGCATATCTTTCTTTAGGTTAGGGAAGTTTTCTTCTATGATTTTGTTGAATATGTTTTCTGTACCTTTAAGTTGAATTTCTTCACCTTCTTCTATACCTATTATTCTCAGGTTTGGCTTCTTCACGGTGTCCCATATTTCCTGGATATTTTGTGTTAAGGATTTGTTGGTTTTGAGATTTTCTTTGGTTGACGACTCTATATCCTCTAATGAGTCTTCAACACCTGAGATTCTCTCTTCTATCTCTTGTATTCTATTGGTGATACTTGCATCTGTAGTTCCTGATTGTTTACCCAGCTTTTCTATTTCCAGCATCCCTTCATTCTGTGTTTTCTTTATCGTTTCTATTTCAGCTTTCAATCCTTCAACTGTTTGAGTTGTTTCCTTCATTTTTTTGGTTGTTCTTTCTTGGTGCTCTTTAGATTCTTTGAGAGATTTGTTTATTTCTTGAATTTTTCCCCCATTTCATGGATTTTTTGTTTGTTTTTTCTTCTATTTCTTTAAGGGATTTCCTCGTTTCTTCTTTGAGGTCTCCATCATCTTCATGAAATACTTTTTAAGGTCTGTCTCCTCTTCTTCGTCTATGTAGTGCTTTTCGGGTCTTGCTGGTGTTGGATCCCTGGATTCTGGTGGGGTCATGTTGGTGTTTCTACTGCTGAGTGATCTCTTACTCTGTCTTCTTCCCATCTCTTCTTTCAGTGGGTGCTGGTGGGGTCTTTCTGTCTCCACTGGTCTCCTTCCTTCCTGCAGCTGAAGCTGGGAATGCTGACACGGAGTTTGGGTCCTGGTAGGGCTGATGTCTTTCCTGAAGCTGGACTCGCTGGGGTTGGGGTCTTGGAGGGGCTGATGTCTTTCCTGTGTGGGCGGGTCTTCTGGATGCCTGGAGCGGCCCCGAGATCAAGGGGGATGGGAGAAGGGCGGGTGGTCCCCGCCGGAGACCCAATCTCACCTGAAGCTGGACTCGCTGGGATTGGGCGCTATTTAATTATTTTATGTGCATTGCTATTAAGGTGTCAGATCCTCTGGAACCAGAGTAACAGATAGCTTTAAACTGCCATGTGGGTGCTGGGATTTCAACCCATCAGTGCTCTTAACTGCTGAGCCATTTCTCCATCCCTGTGCTCCCACATCAATATTTTAAAAGAAGTCCTTTCAAATAGGATACTGAAATAAAGTATCTTAGTCACTTTTCTAATCTAGTTATAAGATACAATGACCAATGCAACTTATAGAAGGGGCTTACAGTTTCAGAGGGTTAGAGCCCATGACCATTATGGTGGGGAGAATGGTAACAGGCCAGCAGGCACGGCACTGGAGCAGTGGCTGGGAGTTCACATCTTGAGACACAACCATGAGGCAGAGAGAGAGAGAGAGAGAGAGAGAGAGAGAGAGAGAGAGAGAGAGAGAGAGAGACTGAGAACATCATGAGTCTTTGAAATCAGTGAAACACCTCCTCCAATAAAACCATACCTCTTAATTCTTCTGTGTCGGTTTGATAGACAATGGCTCCTAAAGGGAATGCCACTATTAGGAGGTGTGTCACTGTGGGAGTGGACTTCAAGGTCTCCTATGCTCAAGCTACTCCCAATGAGACAGAGCATTTCCTGCTGCCTGCAAGATGTTGGACTCTCAGCTACTTCTCCAGCACCATGTCTACCTGCACACCACCCTGTCCCATGATGGTGATAATGGACTGAACCTCAGAAACAGTAAGGGAGTCACCCCAATTCAATTTTTCCTTTATAAGGGCTACTGTGGTCATGGTGTCTCTTCACAGCAATAGAAGCCCTAAGACAAGCATTCAAACATATGAGCCTTGGAAAGGCATTCTCATTGAAACCACCACACTAGGTAAGAGAAACATTGATAAATTTGACAACACTGAAAATTAACACCTAAGAATGTTATACAGTGCCATAAACAGAGCTAAAAGGCTACAATGTGAAAGAAAGCAATTAAAGACCATGTAACAGGCAAATTATTTATAGCATAAGTAAGCTCTGAAAACATGATCTGAAATAAATCTTTCTTCTCCTCAAGCTGATTATGTCAGGTGTTTTGTTAGAGTACTAGAAAGCTGATTAACACAGAAGCCCATTTGGCAATACTCATTAAAACAAAACAAAACCAGACCCTATTAAATTTTATTCAGGAATACTGCTTGTCAGCACTGTAGAGAAAAACTTGCTCATGTGCCAAGGAGATATACACAAGGACAACCATTAGTAGTACTTTCAATGCATTTCAATAATTATGGAGACATAAAGTGAATAAAATAAAATTTATCCCATCAATTGGACCATAAGCTAGAAAATAGGCAGGTTGCTGTGGACAAAGGAACAGTGTCAATGGGAATGGCATGGTCTTGGCCTCTATGGACGTAGCTCAGATTCAGTAGGTGTGTTTCTGCTCCTTAGAAACAAACGTTAAAAAGAAAAAGGAGCCAGCTACTGCAGAAGAAAGATGGTGTGGGAGGGGACTTATAAAAACATATGGGCATGTCTAATCTCCCATACGTGTAGACTCGGTCCGACCCAGAAAATGTTTGCAAGCAGAACTGAGTGATGAAAGCCTCTGGGGAAGAGAGAGTTCTGCATTATTGTGGGTAGCATAGGTCAAATGACAACAGGTCTTAGCAAGTGACAGAAGGCAAGAAGACAGACACGCTGAAAAGGCCAAGTAAGGACTGAAGATGTGGAGTGATGCAAGTTAAGGAATGGGTGGAGCCACCAGAAGCCGAAAGGCATGAGGAAGATGGGCTCTTAGAGCCGGAGTGTGGCCCTGCTGCCACAATTGTCCTCTGAGTCCACATTCATGTGCGTGCACATGTGTGCATGCACAAACAACACACACAGACACACAGACACACACACACGCACATGCACACATAAATATACTCCAAATGAATCATTTAAAAAATTTAAAGGACTTTCACCCTCCAGAAGTGTCAGAGAATAAATTTCTGCTGTATTAAGTCACCAATTTTGTGAAAACTAATTAATAGTTGACACACAAAAAATGAGGCATTTGTATTTAGTAAAGGGTAAGCTTGCTTTCATTTTTAAATAAAGGTATTGCCCTTATAGAGGCTAACCCATCTTTTCCTCAGGAGTCCTGAAAAGACCTTCCTTGTATGTGTAAGAAGTGAATTAAGACTTCCAGGAACCAAAGAGAGCACTGAGTTTTATGTTCCTAAATGCTAAGTGTTCTGTCAAACACTGTCCCAGAGACATTGCCTTTTTAGTGACAGATAAGCTTCTGGATGAATACCTGATTACTTCTTTAGCTTACTTAAATTTTAACAGAAAGCCAAACAATAAGACAGGGAAAATATACAGGTGAAAATTTGGGTTAGAGTTCCCATTCTTTGGGTCAGTCATGCACCTCTGCCAATGATCTTAGTTTCCTGTAGCCTGGGTGAGAACCATCTCCATTCCAGGTGAAGGAATTTTCATTATAAACTATAACTATTTCTATAAAATGATAAGTTGACAAAGTCAAAGACAGCCATGTGCAAAGAGGAAGCAAGATTGATAGACATGGGCTGCTACCTGGGGCCATGGTAACATCCAAGCCTGGACTGCTGCAGGGGACCATGTCTGGGTCCGTGGACCATGTCTGGGTTCATGATCCAACAACTGCCAGGGTCTGAGATGATGTCCATGGCTTGTGCTGCCACAGGGTGTCATAGGAACCAAGCATGCTGAAATCCAAGGGGTCATGCTGAGCCAGCCCTCTCCCTTACTGTCCCCAGGATAGCTGTCCCTGTCCCCACTGCCATGGGAGAGCTGACTCCAGCACTCAGGAGAGATGGCCTCACTCTGCACCACAGGTGTGGAAGAGCTGGCCTGGATGGCATGGGCCTAGGGGAGAAGGTTCTGCCCTTGCCTGAGGATGTGGTCCCAATGACCCAGAAGGATCAATTCGACGACCACCCAGACCCATATCCTCTGTGTGCCTTGGGTTGGTCCACCCTAACAGCTGTCCCATCGTTGACCTGCTGGAGTGTGTAAATGGAGTGGTCCTGCAGAATGTTAACCACAGAATTTCCATGATGAGGGCCCAGCACAGTGATGATGGTGTGCCAGAAATCAGAGGCCTTGAACCAGACCAATGACTCACTGAAATGAACATTTTGTGGGTGGGGCTGACTGGACAAAAGGGTGTACTTTATGACACACTGCAGCTCCGGATGCCACTGGGATGGATGAAGCGGTGCTGGAAAGATGCAGGAGTGGGGTGAGGAGCAGATGTGGAGGGACTGGGAGGGGAGCAGGATTGAGATGCATAATGTTTTCCTTTTAACAAAAAGATTCACAGACATATTTACCAGGATTAGGGACATCTGTCACAATCTGTAAAGCAACTATGTCTGAACACACCTTGACTTTTGTGTCACTCTCATTCATAGGTTGATAATTTCTAGAGCAGTAATATTTAAAGACAACTTTGGAAGGTGATTGTGTCATGAAGAAGAATCTGTGTCCTTACAAAGGGGGACTTAGAGAAACTCCTTGCTCCTCCCACTGTGATGACCAGTGAGAAGATGGTCATCTATGAACCAGGAAGCCGGCTGCTACCAGATGTTGAATCTGCCAGAACCTTGCTCTTGGGTGTCCTAGCCTCCAGAAATGTGAGGGCTACATTTCTGTTGTTTGTAAGCCATTTTGCTTATAACATCTTGTCATAGTACTTCAAATAGACTAAAAAACAGCGACAGGGAACAGGAACCTAAAAAGTTGTAGAGTTTATATAATGCAGAACGTAATTAAAATTAAAACTTGGTGGAAATTTTTAGTAGTCAATGGACACAGGCAACAGCAGGGAATGAATTAAAAGGTAGGATGGAAAAAAGTCTAAAGAAAATTCTGGGAAATATATATGAAATTTAAAATAGGTCAATGTACTGTGTGTATCATAAACAAAGAGAAATATACCCAGAGATACATGATAGTGAAAAGGTTAGGCTCCAAAGACAAAGGAAAGATTTGAAAAGAAGCCAGAGAGAGAAAAAGTAACTTTGTTTTTTAAAAAAGCAACAACCTGTCAGTTGATTTCTAGGTATCATGGGAGGCTAAAGGACAGTGGAATATTTTGAATAGTGGGGAAATATTTGCCAACATGAAATTTTATTGTCTACAGACAAGGTTAAACACATCAAAATAGAGGGTGTTTTCCCATACCTGACCTTCATAAGATAAAACTATCCTGTATATGCTTCAGATAGAAGGGATGTCAGAGAAAAATTTACAGTGAAAAAAAAACAACCAAAACCCAAAAACAACCAGGGAGGTGGAAGCTGCCAGTATATGGGGAAGTCCAAAGTCATAGATGCGTCACAACTGAAATATATGATCAAAAACTATGTAAGTTAGTGGTATAAATAGTATTGCAATGTTCTTTGGGCTGTGTGTTGTATAAAAAGACAGTAATTAACTGGAGATATTTAAAGTTTAACTTTGCATGTTATAATGTGTACAGCAGCCTTTTATAGAGACAGAATATTTTATTTTGCACATAGTAAAGGACAGATCTGGAATGCTGGAAACAGTCTAGAAGGAGGCAAGAAGGAAGAAAAATACATATGTAACAGGTGGTGCCAATAAGCACTAAAGAACATGCTAGAATTAAACAGAAAAGTGCTAGTAATTGCAACGAATATAGTAAAACTGTTCATTAGATTTGTAAAAACTAAGAGCAAGTTGTTCATAGCATCCAAATGCTTTTAGATTATAAATTTTCATATGGTATATTTTATCATATTGTCCTTCCCATCTCTTTTCAGATCCTCTCTCTATGTACTCACTAAACTTAATGCTCTTTTACTACCCCCTAAACAAAAACCAAACCCAATCCCTCCAAAAAACTAGAAATGAATTTCAAAACAGATAAACAGCAAAAACCCCAGTAAGAGAGAGAGAGAAAAAGCAAAAACAAGACAAAAAGTGTACGAGAACTTGGAGTCTATTTTGTGTTGGTCAACAACTCCTGGGCAAGGGTCTTGCCCTGGAGGAGGATTGATATACCTAGAGGTATTTCGTTGAAGATACCAATTGCAAATAGCTTCTTGATTAGGAGTGGGATTTTGTGTCTACTTCCCCTTCCTAGTGCTGGTATTTTTGTTTACAGCATACAATTGATAACTAATTAAATGGCACTTTAACATCATAAAGTAGAATTAAAAGCACAAAGATTACTGGGAGTAGTGAAGACTACTCAATAAGACTACAGTAAAAGGCTCACTTCACCAGGAAAATATAATTTAAAATTTAAATGTACCTAATTGCATTTCCTCATAATATACAAAGCAGAAGTAGACATTTTCATGATAAAGTGATTCATAACCACCATGGTAGATTAAAATTTTTCTCTCAGAGATATGAACATGGTTAGAAAACACATACAACCACTACTTTAATAAAACAACATAATTCCTAACCACATTCTAAATATTTATTCTTATACCCACAGGTTAAGTATATGCCTCACCCCTCATCAAGGAAACATCTGCTTGCACAGACAGAGGCCACTGAGAGAAAACCACACTGATCAGAAGGAAGAGAACAAGTGACCTTGTGGTGCTCAGCCCAACTGACTCATCTATGACACAATTCCTGTACCTAAGGCTCAGCAGACAGAGTGTAACAACCAGAGGAACATTGCTATGAGACTGTATTTCCTAGAAATGACAGGGAAGTTTTCCCCCATGATACCCTAACAATATGGCTGCATAAACAACACCAATAGACATGCTAACATAGAAGGGGAAATCTCACTGGGCCCCATCTGTAGAAAAAGAACTGCATAGAACTAAGGAATATTGAGAGTGGGACAGTCTTCCCCAGGGAAGAACCCTTAAATTGCTTATCCAATGTCAAATACTCAGCCCTGAAATCATATATATATATATATATATATACATACATATATATAATAAATCACATATATATGTATATATATATGCAACATTATATAAACTGAGCAGGTTGTATTTATACACTTAGGAATACATATGTGTTTGTGTGTGTGTGTGCGTGCATGTGCGTGTGTGTGTGTGTGTGTGTGTGTGTGTGTGTAACAACAATTGAAGAAATTGAAGCCATGAGTTTGGCAGAGAGCAAAGGAGTTAGATAAAGGTGAAAGGTTGTAGGAAGAAAATGGAAGGGAGAAATGATGTAACTATTTTAATTAAAAACATCCTGTTCAATAAAGAAGCTTTTCTTAGTTATGGATAGAATAACAATACCAAAATCCAATAAGAATACAGACATTTACTAATATTTTTACTGTATGGTACAGTGGAGGGATGGAAAACACAATTTTCAATGACTGTAGTGTTCACTGCTTTTTAAAGCCACAAGAAATACATTAAAAGTTTTGATCTTATATTGAACTGCAAAGAAGTCAGAACAGAACCAAAGGCTGGAACTCATGCAAATCATGTCTTCTGACCACAGTGTGGTGAAGCTAGACCTTGGGAAACTAGAGGCAACACATCTGAAAACTCTAAATGTTTACATACACAAAATGCAGTTGTAAAAATCCCACAGGTAATACAAGAAATCACAAGGGAACTTAGAAAATATTTCAAAGTGAGTAATAATGAAAATGCTTCATAACACACCTTTTGGATACAGCTAAGGCAGGTTTTTCTGTGTGTGTGGGGGAATGACAGCCTTAAGTAGAATAGTAAAGAATGCCTGAAAATAAATAGATTCACCAATCTTAAGATGTTAGAAAAAGAATAACTGTGTAGAAAAGAGAAAGTGGAAGGGAAGAGACTCGGTACAAAAAAGGGGGGCTGTTGCAGTGATAAACCTGAACATGAGGTTCTTAGACCTTTGAAATTTTTTGGAGTGTGTGTGGAAGAGTTTAGAACTTCAGTCTAGGAGAGACCCCACACGTTGTAAGCAGAACTCAATAAATCATTCTGGTGAGATTTGAGAAGACAAAATTTCAAAGAGAAAATGCCTAAAATAGAGGTCCTGCTCATGAGGCTTTAGAAAGAAAGTAACAAGGGGCCCATTGGCTAGAAGTAATATGTGCCGTATTCTGGCAAAGACTCTGGCTGCATTCTGTCCATGTCCTAAGAACTTGAGTGGTCTCATTTGTTTGGAAAAGGAGCTATCTAGACAGAATGACACTAAGATTATGTCATGGCTTCTGCTTACTGTTCTTAGTTTATAGTCAGAAGAGCAATGAATGGAGTAGAAAAAGGAAAAATGTGGAATTTGGGGCTGGTGGAGTGAGATTAAAGTTTCAGATAATGCAGGAACTGAGAAAGAAGTTGCAACTGCTCAAGAAATGAGGCCCCAACTGAAGGGAAACCTCGTGCTTTTTGTGATTTTTGTGCTGTGTGATGAGGTAATAGAAAGGAAGTCTCAAGGGCAAAATCCCACCCATCAAAGTTTCCATCTTGTGAAGCTGCAAATGCTTTTGAATGGATAGAGTTTAAGGGGACAATACTGCTGGGGGTCTTCCTCCAAAATCCCACAAGAAAGAAAACAATAAACTTGGAAAATGTTTTCTGGGACCAGCACATGGAGACTATGTAATCTAAAGGAGTTAAACCACGTCTACTGGCGGCAGAACTTGGGAGCATTGTGCATATAGTTTCACAGGCATGAAAGAGTTAAGGATGAGGGGTCATGGTAGTTTGTGCTGGGTTTCTTGAAGGCCACTGGGCCAGGGAATGTGTGCCAGGTTCAGAGCCACTCTAAGGAGGCTCTCAGGGGACATTTTGTAAAGTTGTGAAGATGAAGTTTAGGATTAAATAGAGACCCCAGAATGTCAGAGATGCCAGGGACATGGGACATCTGCTGCAGAAAGCTGCAGGCATGGAGCAGAGCCAGCCCAGGACAGAGGTTATATGTGCTGCAGGAGACAGAGATAGGGAGACAGGGCTCCCCAGACCCTTTGGATTCCAGATGATCTCATCACAAGCCCCAGATGATAAACATGGACCTGCAGGATTTGTTGTTTGTCCTGCTGGGTTTTGGACTTACCATTTCTTCCTATGTCCCTCCTTTTCCCTGTTGGAATTGGGAGTTTATTTCATGCCATGGTATATATTGGAGGTGTGTGGCTTCTATTTTATTTCATAAGAGATCGCAGTTAAGAGTTTGCCTTGAGTCTCAGTTGACAATTGAACTTTGGGCTGCTAAACATTGTTGGAACTGCTAAAAACTGTGGGAACTTTTGCAGTTGGGCTGAATGCAATTTTCACATTATGAGATGGCCATTGGCCTGTGAGGACAGAGGATAGGTGGCCATGGTGTAAAAGTGATGTGTTTGAGCATCGAGTTGGCAAGAGATAGATTTGTGATGGTGCATATTGTCAGCTTGACAAGATCTAGCATCACCTAGGTGACAAAATTCTATGAATGTTCATGAGGGAGCTTCTAAATTGGGTCAACTGACCCATACTAAAGGGTGGCACCATCCCATTTGTTAGAGACTGACTGAATAAAGCAGAGAAAGCAAGCAGAGCACCAGAACCCATCACTCTGCCTCTGGATTACGGATGCAATGCAACCAGTTGCTTTGTATTTCTGCTGCCATGTCTTCCTGTACCGATAGACGGAAACCTCAAACTATGAATCAGGATAGTCCCTCCGTCCCTCCCTCTGTCCCTCCCTCCATCCCTCCCTCCCTCGAATTACCTTTGTGAGGTACTTTGTCACAGCGATGAGAAAGTAACCAATACAGAAAGAAATAATAAATAACACACGCAAAAATTAATAAGTGGGAAACATATATAATGGAGAGAGAGCAACAAAACCAAAAGATCATAATTTGAAAAGACCAACAAATTGAGAATGTTTTGCTGGGATTAAGGGCATATATGACAGAGAGATTAAGGAGAAAAGATTGAAAAGTAGAAATACCTAAGAAAAAGGAGATATTACTACAGATCTTACCTGCATTAAAGTGATATCAAGATTGTGTGAACGATTTTATTTCAATATACTTGAAAATTAAGATAAAACAGAAATGTTCCTAGAAAAAACAACAACTAAAAATGATTCAAAAAGAAAAAACTTTGAATAATCTTATGCTACTAAAGAAAATGAATCAATATTCAAAAACTTTCCTGAAAAGGAAACCCTATGTAGAGGCGGGTTGGTCAGAGGTCTAACAACTACTCAATGCAGAATCCAGAATGACTCAAAGTCTTCCTGAAAGTACAAAGAGATATCAATGCTCATAACTCACTACTGGAAGCAATTGCATCATTGATATCAAAACTGCACCAATACGGAATAGAGGAAGGGAAATTACCAAATAATCTCTCTTGAAATGGATGCAAAAACCTGAAACCAAGTCCAAAAACACAGAAAAAGGATAAAGACCAAGTTGACTTTATTTCATAAAGTTGAAGGACTTCAGGAACCTAATATGATTTATCACCTTTTCAGAATGACATAAAAAATTTAAAATTACAGAAAACTTGTTCACATTCAATGTTGAATTATGATAACCACATGAAGCTCTTCAACGAGAAATGAAATAAGCTTAATATGGTAAACACCATCTGTAAGGGCCCCTCTTCCATGCATGACGGTGAACATGGGAAGCATTTATTTGAAAGCAAAGAGAAGCCAATACTCCATCCTTTCTAATCAGGACTGTAGTAGGAATCCTAGGAAATGGAATAAGTGAGGATTAAGAAGGAAAAAATGAAGCAATCAATCACCATCTTCTGTGACATGTGCCACACACACAGATATCTCTCACACTTGTGTGAGACATCTCTCACACAAGTAAATCAGATAAACTAAAAACACAAATAAAAAAATCATTAAACTGGGAGCAGACCCTTCTTAGTATGGGGCCATCGGCAACTGTGTCAGATAGTAATTCAAGAGCATGATTGGAATGGATACAGTCTGAAGATGCTATGAAATGTATCTCATAACATCATTTGTAGTCTATGAGGAAATGGGAAAACAGGGTCTGATTCTGTTTATATGACACTGGAAACTGGAAACTGGGCAGATTAAACCATTGTTCAGGGTGGCTGCACAGGCTGTAAAACAGACTAAACAAGGAGTATCACAAAAACAAGATGAAGGTAACATGACAGGCTTCTTACATGTCTTCTTGATTTTCTCTGTGTCTATTTTTGTCCTTCCCCATGATTATCTGTTTTAAGTAGGAACCTGATACTTGCTCATTTCCTTGCCTATAGAAACACCATGCTCCATGAGACTGTTCAAAGCTGCTACCCAGATCACTAGTGATGCCATTTCTGGTGCTCAGGTGCTATCCCACCCCTAGTATCCCAGGATCTTCTTATTCCCATTGACATTAGGGCGAGCCATCTATCAACCAAATTCCTGGACTTTCAACAATGCTTATTTCCCCCTTACTAGTTTATTTCTTATCATCTTGGTTAGTGAAGCATCTTCCCTATTGAGAATGCTGGGTCATAGTAGCATCCCCCAAATCCCAATCCCTCTAATCCTTTGCTGAGTTCACTGGACCACTCTGGTCCCTGTAATTCACTTACTGCGGGGGCATTCTTCTATTCTACGCCTCCAAGAATTATGCCTATATTGTACTGGAATTGTCATGTAGGGCCCTTGCCAGGGCAAATCCCTCTTTTGGACAGACATTCACTGTGCTTTTTTTTTTTGATCAGCAGCACCAGGATTTCCTTCCAGGCATGTGAACCAGAACTTGCACATTTCCTCCTTAGTAAGTCACATACTTCCCCAAGTCGGATTCTTCTTCTATTTACCTCCACAAAGCACCTGCTAGTCATATAGGAGCTGGGGAAGCCCCTGAAGAGGGCAAGTGTATGAAGTTGCCAGTTCCAGCAAATAGAAATACAATACACAGGGCTGAGAGATGACTCAGTGGTTAAGAGCACTGGATGCTCTTCCAGAGGACACAGGTTCAATTCCCAGGATGCACACGGTGGCTCACACCTGTTTATTCCAGGGGATCTGACATCCTCACACAGAAATACATGCAGGCAAACCCACCAATGCACATAAAATAAAAGTGAATAAATCATAAGAAATATACTATATAAAAGACTAGGGCACTACAATTTATTCATTGTTTATGGTTTAGCTAGAATTAAAATTTAACAGGACATTCTGCATCATACATGGCAAGCGTATGTGCAGAGCACTGGCTCGCTTGACACCTCCATAGAGCCCTCAGACACTGGACAGGTCCTATTTCCAATAGGAAACTTGCCTCTTCTGCAGACGCAGAGGCTGGGGAAACCAATATTCCTATCAACTTCTCAGCCCCATCTCCTAGCCTGCCTGCTCCTCCACCACAGGGAACCAGTGTCCTTACAAAGCCATGAAAACATTCAGATTCTCACATTAGTCCACTGTGATTTTTTTCTCTCTACAAAGAGTCAGTGGTATTATCAACAGCTATCCAATTCCATGGTCCTTCCCTCCAGTCAACTTTCCCTCCAATTCCTCAAATATACCTTCATAGCTCTTAAACCCATCAACACGGGGCAACCATATAGGAGATCCCACAATGCTGATACCCAAGTCCTGCTCCAGGAAAGGTGATGTAATTAGCTTCAGGTATGGTTGGGCTAAGGCAGTATCTTGGACTAGTGTTCAGACGACTGCTACAATTACAGCATTTCACTGCATCCCATTACAGCTCACTGCAGGTAAATATCTCAGAGATCCACTACTCTGGTGTCTTAGTCTGTCACTGCTGCTACGACACAACATCTTTGAATGGGTAACTTGGTTTTGTTGCCTTGTTTTGATTTTTGAGACAGGGTGTTTTTGTGTGTGTGTGTAACAGCCCTGGCTGTCCTGGAACTCATTCAGGCTGGCCTCGAACTCACAGAGATCCGCCTGCCTCTGCTTGCCAAGTGCTGGGATTAAAGGCATGTGCCACCAGCCAGCTAGAATGGGTAATTTGTAAATGGCAGTGATACATTGCTTACTGTTCAAGAGACTGACACATTGCAGGTTTAGTGAAAGCTTGCTCCCTTTTTCCTAACACAGAGCTTTTTTGCTATGCTCACCCCGCTCCTCATGGAGAAAGCAGAAAGACAAAGGAACTGTGGCACCGCTTTCAACTTCCTTCATAGAGTACCAGTCCTGTTCCCCAGGGCAGAGCACCTATGCTTTGATCATATCTCTCAAATCCCCACCTCACAGAGTTACTATGGATGGCAGGTTTCAACATATGTGTTATGGGAGGACACATACATTCAAACTAAGACACATGGCATCCAGGTAACATCAACACCCGGTCATTCTGCCATCTAGCTCAAAGTCAATGACAAAACCCCACCGTTAGCAACTCTTTAATAGGACTCCACCTGGCGTTAACTTTCTTAGGTAAGCTCTCCTAGAAGCAGAGCTTAAGAGGATGTTATCCCTGTGATGTCTGTGGAGTGATCTAAGGGAAAGGGAGTAAGGGGACAGCCGTAATGCAGGCATAAAACACATGGAGAATGTGATCCCAGTTGGAGACTAGTATTAGAGCCTGGCCGTGGTGGGTGGATGGGTGGAGCTGCAGCACAGCAATTCTGCCAGTCAGCCCTACCTTGAGGCAGAAGGGGTGACCTTTTGTACCCCTACATTAGTTAATCATTGACTGTAGCCGTCCTTAGGGGTGTGACAGAAGCCTGGAGCACAGCTCCTTAACCAGTCCCAGGCCTAAGGTGAGGAGAACAGGGTAACATTTGAGTGAGTTCCCCACACCCCAGTAATCAAGATGATGATATTTTAACATAATATTGTAAATAAATCAAATCAATCCAAAAAGTCATAATGAACAAAATTGAATTTTAAAGCTAGACTAAAGGCCTAAGGGAGAAGCTTCCTGTTTGACCAAGGCCAGTTCTCAGAAGGAAGGGAGCTGTGGTTTATCCATGAGCACTCAACCTCTGGGGGATGGCTGCATTGGTCAAATGAATTGATCCTGGGTGAGAACCAGCGGCATCCATTTTAGTACTTTCCCCCAATTCCATCTATCTAAGTTTGGCTTGGCCCCATTCCCTTAGGATTCTTTGGAGACACCGGGGAGAACAACACCCCATCTCATGTAATAATGTTAAAAATCTCTGGAGACTGCTTCCAGAACTTGTGGTCCAAGCAAGCTCACACAGGAAAGCTGCATTGGAACAAACACAAAAAGTGCTCAGGGAATCAGAAGCAGGTGCTCTGGGGTCATCTTCCCCAGCTGAGTGACAGGTACTAGTTTCCTAAAAATCCACTTCCCCTTGATAACAGTTCTTGATTCCTAAGTCAAATACCTATACACAACTCTCCCTTCTTATAGGAGGAATTCTTTCCAAGCCCTCCTCCTTAACTTTTCTCTGACATCATCTCTATGCAGGCTAGTTTTATAACAAGGTGACACAGCTAGATCATCTGAAAGGAGGGAACCTCAATTGAGCCTCCATAAGATCTGGCTATAGGGTGTTTTCTTAATTATCAATTGAAAGGGGAGCACCTAGCCAACCCATATCCAACAAGGGGGCTGATGTCCAATATGGAAAAAGAACTCAAGAAACTAGACATCAACAAACCAAATAATTCAATTAAAAAATGGGGTAGAGATCTAAACAGAAAATTCTCAACAGAGAAATCATAGATGGCAGAGAAACACTTAGGAATGTTGGCATCCTTAGCCATCAGGGAAATGCAAATCAAAATGTCTCTGAGATTCCATTTTACACCTGTCAGAATGACTAAGATTAAAAAACACAAGTGGTATCTTATACTGGACAGGATGCTGAGTAAGGGGAACACTCCTCCATTGCTGGTGGGAGCACAATCTTGTACAGCCACTTTGGAAATCAATGCGGCAGTTTCTCAGGAAACTGGGAATCAGTCTAACACAAGACCCAGTTAATCACTCTTGGGCATATTCCCAAATGCTGCCCTATCATACTTCAGGGATACTTGTTTAACTATGATCATAGCAGCATTATTTGTAATAGTCAGAACCTGGAAACAACCTAGATGTCCCTCAACCAAGGAATGGATAAAGAAAATGTGGTACATTTACACAATGGAGTACTACTCAGCTGTTAAACAATGACACCATGAAACCTTTAGGCAAATGGATGGAACCAGAAAAAAATCATCCTGAGTGAGGTAACCCAGACCTAGAAAGACAAACATGGTTTATACTCACTTGTAAGTGGATATTAGCTGTAAAATAAAGGATAACCATGCTGCAATTTACAGACCCAGAGAGACTAGATAACAAGGAAGGTTAGCGGAGGAAGGTGACACCCAGATCTCCCTGGGAAGGGGATAGAGAAGAGATTTCTTGAGTGGACTGAGGGTGGTTGAGGATGGGAACATGAGCACCAGGTTGGGATGGCAGAGGGGTAGAGTATTGGAAGAGACTACTGCAGAAGGGGCATTTCTAGGTCAGATAAAAATCCTGGCACAAGGGACTCTCCCAGGATGACCCCAGCTAAGACTCCTAACAATAGCAGACAGGTAGCCTGAACTTGCCATCTCCTGTAACCAGATAAGACTTCAAGTGGAAGGAGTGGGAAACCAACCCAGCCACAAAACCTTCAACCTACAGTCTGTCCTGCCTGTGGTATGTGCTGGGGTAAGGGTGGCCTAGGGATTGAGGGAGTGGCCAATCAATGATTTATCTAGTCTAAAACCTGTGCCAGGAGAGTAAGCCCACCACTGACATTGTCTGGAGCACCAGCACCCAGAGACCTAGGACAGAACCAAACATGACCGGAGGGTAAAAAAGGTCAATGTAATGATGCCTAGAGATATTCTGTGATACTCATAGATTGGTGCCTAGTCCAACTGTCATCAGAGAGGCTTCATCCGGCAGCTGATGGAAACAAACGCGGACCCACAGCCAAACATTACTCAGAGCTCTGGGAATCCTGCAGAAAAAAAGGGGGTTATAGGATTATAGGAGTCAGAGGGGCCAAGAACACCATAAGAAAACCTACAGAATCAACTAGCCTGGGCTCACTGGGGCTCACAGGGACTGAACTGACAATCAGGGAGCATGGGACTGACTTAGGCACACTGCATACATGTGACAGTTGTGTAGCTTGGTCCTCTTGTGGGACTCCT